ATAATAAATTTGGTAGCTCGTAAAAAATCGCAACTCTTAAAAAAATTATGATTGTTGAACTCCTTTTGGGTGTAATTTTCTGCGGTAAGTGCAACTCTGCCACCCTGGTAAGCATTGCTCAATAATTCGATTTGATGCAAGCTTGTACCTGATCTGCCCGAATAACCAATGGCAACCAATAAATAAATGCTAATTTCTAATGTAGACTGTAACCAATGGCAACTATAAATAAATAAAAATAAAATTTCCAATTTCTATCGTGAATCTCAATGTCCCTGTTTCAGCACCTATTTAAAATGCGAATTTTGGCAAATCCTTTCTTAGCGCACGTCTATATTATAATAGCTATCTGTATGCCAAATTTCAGCCAGATCCGTCCAATGGTTTGAGCTGTGCGTTGATAGCAGTCAATCAGCTTACTGTTTTTTATATACAGATATGGTTGCCATGGTATTATGGACACACACACACACACACACACACACACACACACACACACACACACACACACACACACACACACACACACACACACACACACACTGACATACATTCATTTTAATATATATAGATTGATATGAAATCTTGGTAACCTTAGTAACCATGGCAACCTTGGTAACCATGGTAACATGGACACACAGACACACAGACACACTGACACACTGACATACATTCATTTTTATATATATAGATTATTCATAATATAATCATAGTATAATATTTGTTATTTTGCCCAAACGTGACGTCATATCACTAAACATGTGGGCTACAAAATTGTTCCCGTACAAGTATATGATAAGGCGCGTCTATTAGTTTATATGGTCGAAGGTCGTACCATCAAGGTTTATAGATAATACAGGTTGCCTCACTTCTGAATTTACGAAAAAATAAGAGTGGGGGGAATAACGCTCCTGACGTCACTGCCGGAACACGAACACCGGCACACACCGCAAAAAACATGTTTTATGCGTAAACGTTATGCTTAATTTCTATAATTTAGACGTAATTGCTGATTAATTATATTAATTTTATAATTTAGAGTAGTATAATATACAATAATCATGAGTTCCATGAACATGACTATCTACTTCCTTCGTGGATTGATTATTTATCATATGGTGGCCTAATAGTCCCTAGTAATAACTTTAAAAAACACATTTTTAGAGCTGAAAGAGTTTTTAAAAAAATTACCAAGCAGAAAATCCCTAAAGGACCAGGTGTAGTAAAACAACTTTTACATAAAATAATGAATAGAATGGATATTGAAGAAAAGTATAGACCAGTTATACATACATTTGTAAGGCAAAGGATCTTTATTCGTATGAAATATGCAAATAAAAATCATCAAATTTTAGCTTCAAAAAGAAAAGCAAAGTTACAGTTACAAAAACTACAAAAATTGAGAAAACTTATGACTTGAAAATTTATACAGAGTGATTCACTAATAATTATATTATTATTATTTTATTATATAATATTATTATATTATGAATTATATTATATTGTAATATTTGTATTTATATGAAAGAATATTAAAAATGTATGTACACAACTTGCAGATTGGTTTCTTGGTTGTCGTCTTTATTTATTTATTGATAGTTTTCTAATTGTACCTGCACAACATTTTTATTTATTGGTCAATTACAATTGGTATTATGCAAGATAAGTGTAAAATATTTTTTAGAAAGTTGATTTTTCTATCTTCAAATTAATATTTGTTGAAAGAAAAAATAGATCAATCGTTTTTATCAAATTTTAGTTTTGTTAAATTTTATTTATCATGTAAAAATACAAAATAGGTACCTACGACATATTATGTTTGAACTTTTTGTAGTTTTACTAACTTCTGTAAGTATTTTTACCATATTATTTTACTACCAAATGATATACCTATTGCATGCTGAACATAGCTGTTAGTTAAATAGTAGGAGCTATTTGTGATATACAGTGTACTCTCAATAGGTAACTTGAACCTTAATAACTAGAAATTCTCGACATCTCGAACAAATAAAATTCCCCTTCAAGTAACATAATAACACATTAAGGTTTTGATAACTCGAAATTTTTAATAATTCGGACTTTTTTCCCCCAGTGGGCCGTGAGCTTCGAGTTACTGATTTTACACTGTATTAAAAATAAATATATTATATTCGATAATTATTATTTATTATATAATTAAATAGCTGGTAAATCAAATGAATAATTCATTAATAATTAAGTTATCAAAATCAAAAGAAAGTATGTAAAAAATGATTTTATTAATTATTATACTGTTGAAAATAAGTAAATGATACATTGTACCGCACTACGGCAGTCGATTGTTCCGGCAATGACGTCAGTAGACGAGGAACGGTACGGGGGGAAACGTTTTGTTTACATGACTATGAGGCAACATCTATATTCTATTAACCTTGTCGTACCATAACCTATGCCGACTACCGCTATCACATTAAACATTCACAATCTTAATTTCGTTGGCGGGACATTTAAACTTAGGCTGGCGCCAACATATATTTTAATTTACATTTTAATACAATTATTTATTGTTTATTGTTTCTTATACAATACGATCTTAACGTTACATTAAAACATAAGTAATTACAGAACTTAAATAGATATATCAGTATCAAAAGTAAGACATTTTGTTAGGTACTTTAACAGTTTAACTTCAAAATTGGAATGATGTACCTAATTGTTCTTAGATTTATGAATTAATTTTAGAGATGAGTCCTGTGAAGTGTGAATATTAAACAAACTGTATATAGGTATAGGAGTTCTCGAAAGTATATGCTTAAAAATACAACTTATGTATGTAGGAATTTATTTATGGTTAATAATTTATCAATCTATGGGTATTTTTCTGAAAAGTAAATCATGACTATTGTTAAGTTTTCCACATTGTTGAATTTTTAACAGTGGAATACATTACAGAACACGATTCCACCATTACCCTTAATAATACTTGGAAAACCAAGTAGGTACACGGTTAAGAAATATTCAAAATAGTCAACAGTTTGTAGGATTTATTCATTAATTAAACAAGACATCAGTTTCACTGAATAGTAGAAAAGGAAAAATCTGGATACAGCCTACTTCAATAAGTAGGAGAAAACAAGGAGTAAATCGTGGTTCAAAAAGGCTACCATCTGGAAGAAGACCAAAAGAATATGTCGCTAAAGGAAAGCCTAAACGACAAGACAATTTATGTAAAAATATATCGAACAACGTAATGAACTCTAAGTGTTCCGGCGAGGAAATAAATAAGAGTGGACAGTAATTTGGTGTAATTGGTTTTATTTGGTTTTATTGGTTTTAATTTATAATTTAATTATAAATTATTATAATTTTATATGTTGCTTGTAGTCTCTGAGTAAGTCTGCCTGGATAGGTCTTACTTCAGAAGCTCCGTTGAACAGACTGCCCGTTTCTTGCTCCGCACTGGCATTTATACCCTGGTCTCGCACTCCACGTCGTTGCAGGAACCGCCCATGAAATGTATGTGGTTGGTGATTGGGCGTGGTTAAATGGCGGTGATAACGCTGGTTGGCCGCTGCTGCTCTCGAAGCCACGCCCACAGCGTTCTGTCGTCGTGTGCTTATTTATTCATTTTTTGACGAATACGCGGGTCATCAATAAGATTCGTTTGAGCAATTATGTAACTGTACATTATTGCAACCGGTGTCCCTTGTGACCGAACCGATCTGTCCCGCGCCGTACATAATATAGAGATCCGGCCGATACAGTCGTACGTCTCCCGACGTCAAATGTGCTTGGTGCAACATTTTATTCGTGACGAACGACTCACGATAGTGCCGACCGACTGTATTCCGGATCTCATCATATTATGCACACAACTAGTTGGCTGACTGCCCAGTGTGATGTCAGTTTTACATAATATATACCATTAAGAAATATTATAGAATAGTTAATTTTATTTAAGAAAAAACACATTGAATAATTAAAGAAAATACTTCGCGTGGCGCGAACACTAAGCGTCATTAACGTTTATACAATAATATTTGTTTTCAAAATAATGTCAGTAGTGTTTTTTTTTTTTTACACTGCAGTATTGTACAGTATTTTAACTTTTAAGTTTCAAGATGTACCAAGATATACATTTTTGCTTTGTAGTTTACAGCAGTTTCAAGGTTGAATGATAGAAGTTAATGTAGGTATTGAGGTATGTATTGATAGGTAAAAAAAAATATAAGTAATATGCAATTTTTTATCTATTATTCTATAATTTATAAAATCCCTAATGTTTTATTGTTCAAAAATTATTTTAAAACATATTCAAACATTTAAATGATTCAGGTTATATATATAAAAAAAAACATACCTATCTGATTTTTAATTATAATATAATATTATAATAGACAACTCCATTTATTTTGTTTAATATTATACTATCTAGCTAAGAATATAATTCTGTTAGCTAGTAGTATATAATACAGTGGAACCTCGATAACACTCGAACCTCTATAAGTCGAATTTTCGATAACTCGAAGGAATACCTTGGCCCCTGGCTTCCAATATATGAAATGTGTGATAAATTTTTTCGATAATTCGAATTTTGCTAACTCGAATTTCTCGATAAGTCGAAGTAATTTTAGTTGAATTTTAGCTTATAACTCGAATTTATATAATAAAATATAATTCGAACAATTACCTATCTCGATAACTCGAAGGTCAAATAACCAAGTACATATGTATATTATTATGAATAACCAAAATCTTAATCGAAAACCGATTACTATTATCAATCGTATCATTACATATACTACTTAAAAGGAACAGTTATAAATTCAACGATATTGTATTATGTAATATGTATGTCTATACCTAATCTATATCTCCGATAAGTTACGTTTATCTACTTTATTTGTATTTATTACTGGTAAAATTATACGTCGATTGAAATACGAAATGTATACGTCGATATTTTATATAATGCTGATACAGCAAATGTTCAGTTTATTTTGTGATTTTGTCAAGTCAAGATGGAAAAACGTAGTTTAAAGTCTCTAACTGTCGGTGATAAAATAAATATTATTGAAGAAGTAAAAAAAGGAGTGAAACTCAAAAAAGATATCGCTAGTGAATTCGTTATTCCTGCTAGTACCTTATCGACTATATTGAAGGATGAAGATTAAATTCTCAAAGCAGTTGATGAAGCCCCCTGCTTACCACGCCGGAAAAGATTTAAAGCATCAAGTTTCCCAGAAATTGAGCATGCTATGACGGAATGGATAAAGCGAGTAAGAGATTATAATTTACCCATATCAGGACCGTTAATTCAAGAAAAAGCAGCAGAGTTCGCAAAAAATGTAGGCCTCACATTTCAAGCTATTTCGGGTTGGCTGGAAAAATGTAAATTGAGGAACGGAATAGTAGAAAAAATCATATCAGGTGACAGTGCCACGGTGTCTGAAGTTGACTGTGAACATTACCGAACAAACATACTACCAAGTTTGTTAAAAGAATACGACTCCAAAGACATTTTCAACGCAGATGAATTCGGTCTCTTTTTCAAGTGTACACCTGACAGAACTTTGACATTCAAAGGAGATACTTGTCACGGAGGAAAAAAGAGTAAAGAACGTGTAACAGTCATGGTAGGTGCTAATATGACTGGAACAGAAAAATTAAAACTACTCGTGATTGGAAAGTCAAAACAACCAAGGTGCTTCAAGAAAAAGAACGTGCAATCGTTACCGGTCACATACGCGTATAACAAAAAAGCTTGGATGTTATCCACCATTTATGAATCTTGGATATTCGACTTAGATAAAAGATTTTTCAACGATAAAAAAAAAGTGTTTCTCTTTGTCGATAATTGCCCTGCACATCCAAAAACACTTTTGCATGAACTAAAAGCAATACGGGTAGTATTTCTGCCACCAAGCATGACATCTAAGTTACAGCCAATGGATCAAGGAATCATAAAAAACATAAAGCATCATTATCGAAGAAGTACAATGCAAAGAAATTTGCGATAAATGGATTCCGGACTTGAGATAGATGACATAAATCTTTTAGAATCAATTGAATTACTGCATAAATCCTGGGGAGCAGTCACACAGTCCACGATTGTAAATTGTTTCCACAAAGCTGGCTTTACAAACGGTATAAATAAGTTGTTTATTTTATTTATATGTTTCTATGATTTGTAATTATGTATTACTTTTGTCTTTTAGAAATCGAAGAAGTCGAACCAGTCGAAGAAGAAACCCCAATTGAGTGGGATCGATACCAGCAGCTTTTTCCTGAGACTAATACAGTTGAATTCCAACATTTTGTTGAGGTGGACTCTAGTGTTATAACAACATACTATCCTACTGATAATGAAATACTGAACGATTTGAAATTCCAAGAAATGCCTAACGAGTCAAGTGGGGAGGAGTCAGTTATTGAAGACGATGGCGAATTGGCTTTACCTAAAACTACTCTTGCCCAGGCATTAGATAGTTTACAGGTTGTACGTAAGTACATTCAAAAACAACAAGAAATTGGAGACGAGATGTTTTCCGCGCTAAACGTTATTGAAAACTTTACAGATAGGTTAAACATTAAGAAACAATCAAAAATATCTGATTTCTTTAAAAAATAGTTCTTTTTTCTACTTAGTCTACTTTATTTATTACATTATACATACTTTTTTTAAATTTTTTATACAATATACATACCTACATAGTACATACATTATACATTTATTAGTAAATACATACATAAATATATAATTAAAAAATTAAAGTCTTTGTGTTTTTAAATAAAAAAATTATTTTCAATAACTCGAATTTCTTTTGCAGATTCAAGTTATCGAGGTTCCACTGTATATGCTTCTTAGCTACATACATAGATAAAAAATGACTACCTATATATAATCAGAAATTACTAAAAAGTGAGGTACTTAAGTAAAGATATTAATAACTAATAAGTGTAGGCGGCACTTGGTTGTATTCAGTATTTTAAGAGGAAGGGGAGATAATTATAAATAAAAAATTCTCACCACCATACCACCAAACGAGCTTCTTATTTATGATTTATTTTTTGTGCACACTTTGTTAAAATAAATGTCCATATTAATATTTAGTAATGTATCACAACCACTAACCACTGAAGGATTATAATTTTAATTATATTTAAAACACTTTTTAAATTAGGTAATTTAAATACTCTCTTGGTTATATTTCTAATTAAAAATCAAATACTTAGTTATTAAAAATACCTAGTTAATTTAAATACTTTTAAAAATTTAAAAAATCATATTTTAGATTATTTTTCACTTGAAACTATTGAAGTATTTCAGAAATAAAATATTATAATATTTTATTTATTTTAACTTTTCAATTTAATATTACAATAGTGCAAAGATAAGTACTAATGACAGTATGACACTTATAATAATATGTGACAAAAAAATTTTAAAATAGTAATTACAAAATCAAAAAAAAATATTATTTTCAATATTGATTCTAATCTAGTCAGAAATAATAATTATCACCTATTTAGTCACTAGATGATAATTATTATTTCATTTTTAACTTTTAAACCTAAAAAAAAAAAATGTTTGATTTACATATTCAAAATTAAAATATAAATTATAGGACTGTAAAAAAGTAAAATGTTTATAATTAAATAGGTTACCTGCCTAATAAATTATGTATTTTCTGAATTATAATAATATTTAAGATTATATAATATATAATTGTGAAGACATTTTTTTATAGTATAATATTTGGCGCGAATTCTAAACGGGCCAATGAAAGCGGGGTATTATAGAGAGGCGCTGGGGCTCTATAGTGTTTGGTAATACGCAGCCCGGTTTCAGAGAGATTCAAACCAGCTAACGGCAGGAAACATGCATACGTAATAACCCTTTAGGCCATGGGTACTTGATGGTAATTGGTAATTCAATGGAAAAAGGTATATTTAAGAATACATATTATAATATAATATTATATTATATTATATTGTATACAATATTACGATTTTCCTAAAATAAATCTTGAATTAATTGATGGTTTTATAAATATTTCAGTCTCAATCGGTCTATATTCTGATGAATATTTATGAAAATGTTTAGGTCTTGATTATATTGGAGATTTTATAACACAAGCAAACCCTATAAATAAAATATGGCCTAATTCATACGGTCTAGAACCTGATATTTTTTTATAAAATAATAGCTACGAACAAACTAATGATTTATACACAAGGTTTTATAAAAAATATTAAAGGTATTATTTCTAATGTAAATAGTAAAACTGAATTAAAGGGAAATTATTCAATTGAGCATTTAAATAGCTTATTCCTTTCGTAAATAAAGTTGGAAAAAAATGGTAATTATATTAAAATAACAACAACAGATTATTGTTCATTTGATCAAAATTTGAATTTAAGTTTAGGAAGATTTGATAAAGATACAATATATACACTTTATGGAGAAAATTCATCATTAAATATTAGAAGTGCATTGTAATATAATTGAAGAATCTACTACACATTATATTAATGAGCTATCTCATTATGGTGAAGAAGTTTTATTTTTATTTCAATATAATTCTAATAAAACGTTAAATCAGCCTTCTAAAATTATATATAGAGCAGTAAGTAAAAATCGATTTCAAAATATAAAAATGTATTGTTGTTCTTGATCTAATGAAAAAATAAATATGTGGAGGGCAGCTTTTGATTCCTTGTTAAATTTTCAAGTTAAAATATTTTTATTATTAAAGTGTTAAACGATTTTTCACTTAATTTTAATATATTTAAAAAATGTCATCAATTATTCCTCTTTCAATATCAAACTTATACACTGAAATAAAACAAATATAACAAACTGTTTCATCAGGTAAAGTTTGACCGAAATCTACGTTTAAAATTACTTTACTGTTGGATATTGCAATTTCATTGAGGTGTCTCGTCATGTTAACAACAAAAAAATGTCTATTTTTTCTAAATTGAGATTTATCTAAATACATTAATGGATTTTTTTCATATGATTTTTAATAGGTTTTTTTCACTCATTTGATTGACAACATTTTATATCATTAAAATCTTGATTTTACAGTTCATTAGGATATATTTTTCCATTTACTTCAAATGAATAATTTACAACATTACAATGATCCAAATGACTAGCATTACTATCTTGATTGACTAATCTATCTGTTTAAAAAAAAACACCAAACAAGGGTTGTTTATTATTTCGATTATTATTTGTTAAATCTAATCTTATCTTTTTCCTATAATATTTCTTACTTCAATACATTGCCATTTTTTAAAATCTAAAATACATTTTTTTTGAATTAATTCATCAACTATTTGAATTTTTGAACTATTTGAATTTTTGTTATTTCATCATATTCTAGTGTTGGAATTTGAACTTTTAATTCTAAAATATTAATTTTACCATGTTTGCTTTAGTATTTTTTGTCTCTGCTGTAGCTTCAGTGTTTTTTTCTAGAATCAACGCATCATCATCAGTATTTCTTGTAAAAATTATTTCAAATCTAGCATTATAAAGGGGACATTTTATATTTTTCATCGACCCCAAACCGACGTGTGATAAAGGAATGATGAGCTCACCACTTCCTCCCCCCCCCCTTAATTTTTAGATTGAAATCCTGAATTTTATGTGGGGCTGTTTCTATCAACAGCATAAATCATATAACTTTTTATTGTACTTGATCTTCCTACAAACTCAATTTCATCTATAATTTTGTTATTTAATTTAATTGCAAATTTTTTGAAACAAAAATGCTCCATTATTATCAGATATCATAACATTAGATTTTGATGGATATTTAGCACCATTGTCTTGTACATAATCAAATGTTATATAAAAATTTTAATTTTTAATATTCAGAAATCTATCTTTACCATCTACTATAACTATTGTATTTCGGTTAGGTTAGCCCCTATCTTGGGTATATACTCGTGGACGATTTTCCTCAAGATAGTATCGGCGTTGGCTTTTTTGATTGGGTACAACTGTATGAACTTGGAAAATACATCTAGCACGGCAAGTATGTATTTTGCACCTCGCTGTCCCCTTGGTAGTGGTCCCATGAGGTCCAAGGATACTAGCTGCAGCGGTTTGTCCGGCAGTATGCTAATAGTTGGTCCCCTTGCCACTTGATTATCATATTTTGACTTTTGACATCTATCGCATGTTTTGACTATTCGTTTAATAGTCCTATACATGTTGACCATTTTATACTGAAGTTTGAGGATTTGATAGACCTTGGATGTACCCATGTGTCCGTATCTCTCGTGTGTCTCTTGGACAATGGCTTGGTTCATCGACTGTGGTATCATTACTTGGTATCTACCATGTTTGTTATTTGTAAAGAGCAGTTCTTTGAATATGAAGAAGTGTTGGTTTTTTTTGCTTGCTATTTGTAGGAAAATTTTCTTCAATTTCTCGTCCCCTTGTTGGAGTTCGCGGAGACGGTCGAACTGTTCCATTAGTGTTGGGCTGTAGTCCATGAGGGTGAGTTTGTTTATGGTGATTTGCAGTTTGTTCCTCCCCAAGTGGTCATCTGGTTTTTGCGGGTATCTGGTGTGTGTATCTGCACCGATATTGTCTTTCCCTGGTATGTGTTCAATTATTAACTGGTATTCCTGCAACTTTATAGTCCACCTAGTTAATCGTGCGTTGAGCAGTTGACAACTATTTAAAAATGTCAGTGCCTGGTGATCAGTAAGTAGGTGCGTTTCATGGCCTAGGATGTAGTTTCTAATTTTTTTACATGCGAAGACGATGGCGAGTAGTTCTAATTCAGTGGTGCCATAATTCCGTTCAGCCGTGCGACTGATGAAACTGAGGGTTTGATGGTGTCCTTCTTCGGTTTTCTGAAATAGTTCGGCGCCGATGTAGGTGTTGGACGCTTCTGTACTGATGTAGAATTTTTTGTTAAAATCTGGGTAGTGAACAATGATGTCTTCGAGAAATTGTACTTTGATTTCTTCGAATGCTTGTTGTTGTGTAGTGCCCCATTGCCATGATGTTCCTTTTTTGATGAGCGCACTAAGTACTGATGTTTTTTCCGATAAGTCACGAATAAACTTTCGGTAGAAATTGATAAATCCAAGAAAAGCTTGTATTTGTTTCTTATTCTGTGGTGGTTGGACATTTTGTACAGTCTGTATTTTTTCCGGATCCATGGTGATTCCTTTTTCTGATATCACGTGTCCGAGAAAAATGATTTTTTTGCGGAGGAAATGAGATTTTCGTATGTTGATTTTCACAATGTACTCGGTAAATTTGGTAAATATGGCTTCTAGGTGGTCCATATGTTCAATAAAACTGTTTGAGGTAATATGCAGATCATCGACGTAGATGGCTACAGATTTTAAAATGTCGGGTCCTAACACTTGATCGAGTATTTTTTGAAATTCAGCAACGGAATTTACAAGACCAAATGGTAAGACTTTATATTGGTAATTTCTGCCCTTATGGAGAAATGCAGTAACTTCACGGCATTCTTTCTTCAATGAACATTGCCAGTATCCGGAGGTGAGGTCGATAGAACTGAGGTACTTGACTCCCTTAAATTTGTTCATTATATCATCTATGTTCATGGGTCGCTCGCGGTCAGGTAC